GGCAAAGTAATGAGTATAAAAGTTACTTACTGTACCACTGTTTATGAGACTAAAAACTGGAAACAACCTAAATGACCATCAATAGGCACAGGTTAAATAAATCATGAATGCACTCACACAATGGAATACACTGTGTCAAAGTGGAAAAAAAAGAATGAAAACAGCTCTCCATATTCTAATATAGAAAAATTACTAAGATATATAGTGAAATTTTTAAAAAAAGCAGAACAGGGTGTATATTTTGCTACTATATCTGCTTGAATAAGAAGCATAAGAAAATAATAAGTGATTGCCATGGGCTTTTTTTCTTTTCAGGGGGAGTGGTGGAGGTTGGTAAAGTTATACTGTATAGCCCTTTACATTTTACCTTTGAACCATTTGACTGTATTACCTACTCACAAACTTTAAAAATACTGAATATAAAAAGCATAGAAATTTAGAATTTCTATATAAATGTTCAAAGCATATATCTGGATCCATCACATGTCATAATATTAACACTGCTAAAGGAAATACAAATGAAAATCACATACTGAAAAATTAAATCAAGATTAGTGTAATACAAGGAAATATTTATTAATCAGTTTAGGGGAAATGTTACAGCATTTACATTTGAACAGGAAATGTGGGGCTTTACATGACACACATGCATAAATTCTCCCAAAAGGTTCTTTTATTCTGGATCAGTGATGAATCTCACTCTCATTTTTGGGCCTTCATCATTTAACCATTTGTACGCCCTAAGTGTCTACAGACACAAATGGTGGACCTTTTTATTTTAAATTAAAAATATCGTGACAGTTAACTGGTTAAACCACTTGCTGGGTGCCCATCTTCTAAGAGCTCACAACTGAGTGGGAGAGATATGATAGAATCTACCTACAAAACAAGCTGTGTGTGATTTTGATGGTGAGTACACATGGATATACCAGAGAAGAGCTTCTAGAGGGGGGACAAATCTGTGGTAGGGAAGCTATCCCAGGAAAGAGAAGAGTATAAACACCAAGTGTTAGATGAGTCAAGGAAAGAAACCACAGGGCAAGTTTCAAGACAGCTTGAAAAGATTGACTGAGTAAAGTAGACTGACAAGAGTGGGGGGAAAAGATGATAGAGGGACAAGATGCCAGCAAAGCAAAGTGTATGAAGGAGCTTGGATTTTATACCATGACCTAATTACAGAGATTGTTACGTACCAGCCACTAGGCTGAGGCTTCACCTACATTACTACAAAGTCTCAAAAAAGCATTACAAATGAATTATTCCTGGCATTCCCATTAGTGATAATCTGAGGCTGCCTTAATCACCATTATACTACCAGAACCTAGAACAAGACCTAGTGCTCAAAGCATATAATACTGATTAGTGAAAAATAACTTGCTCATAGCACCAAGCTGACAGTGGCAGGGTTTTAGTTCTAACTGATGTCTGTCTTTGGTTTTAAGGCCCTTTTCCTTAATCAATCAAAGGCTTTTAAACTGTAAAGTGACATGATCAATGTCATGTTAGACTGGGAGAGGGAATCTAAGGGGCCTTCATCATTTAACCATTTGTATGCCATAAGCATCTACAGATGCAAGCGGTGGATAGCAATTTTAAGGTCACTGTTCTATTTCAGGTTTATGATCATAAGGGTCAGTAACAGAGTGGAAACAATGGAAATGGAAAGAAAGGGCAGAACTGCAAAGGCTGTGAAGGAGTCAAAGCAAAAGTCTTGACAAAAGATTGCTTTGGAGAACAGAAATATCAAGTACGAATTTCAAAAGGTTTAAAATTGGGAAAAGTGCTTATAGTATCTTCATAGTACATTTAGAGTGAGAGTCTAAACTTGGGAATAAAATAATGAAAACAAATACTATGCAGGTAGCAAAATAAGAGAATTACTTGGACCTGTGAGCTGTCTTAAAACACCTGAACTAACCGTTTCTTACCCGAATGTCTTTTGGATGTTCCCCTTCAGCTATCCTAACCATCCAGAGGAACTTGTTGATGTCATCACCAGAATAGCCAATAACCCCTCCAAAAATAACCAAAACATAATCTACATCCAGACTCCTCATGATTTTATAGGCTGCTGTTTCATTTGAAGACATAGCTTTTCCCACCTACAGAAAAAAATGAGAATGTGTATACTTAGCCCCATAATATGCTAAAAAAGAAATAAATGCACATTTTTACCTTATGAAGGAATGTCAAGAATCTGATTTACATGGAATTCTTTTTATAGAAATGATTTGCTATGAATTCAACAAATTTACTGAGATTTAGAAGCACCTCACTCCCTATAAGGTATAGCAGAAATGTCAAAATCAGAATAAATGTTTTAATATTTTGCTAATTATTTCATGAAATGAACATTTTAATATAAAAGCAGGCAAGCTTAAAAGAAATAGAACTTCTCATTACCTCAAAGCCAGGTATGACTAGCAATCTAGCCAGCACAAATATATTCTTCTCCTTAGTCTACCAGACATCTGATAATTAGCTACAACACTATTACAAGTAAAACTCATTTGGTTAATATCCACTATTGATTTAAAATCTTTAAAAAACAGAGAGGTGATTACCTTAATTTAGGTAAATTGGTTAACAGAGTGAACATTCCCTGAACACAGTGCATTTCTTTTACATATTTGCAAATAATTATCTTTTTTTAAATCTTTAAATTCTTTATTAGTTAAGGAATTACAAATGTGTCCTCATTCCCCCCCATTAACCCCCACCCTCCCCCACAAATAATTATCTTAATTTATAAAATGGAAAATACAAGTCAAATTTAGTGTTTTAAAAGTTTCAGATTTTTGGTGTTGGAAAAAATAAAAAGTTTCAGATTTTGCCTAATTCTCATAAGATATGAGATCTGCCAGAAATCAGCTTACAATTCTGAATGATACTTAAATAAGTAAATATGCACAACCTGAACCCACTTTATGGAATGAATTGTATAAAGAGAAATTTTGAGAATTCTGCAAGCAAAGAGTACATTCACCTCCATTTATCCTTCTTAATTACAAGTAAAGCCTGATTGCTAAGTAATAAAAATTTATAACTTTGATCTGTTGGTTATTGAATTCTTACCAGTGCTATGTGGCTGTTATTCCAGGTATTATTATCCACCAAAGTAGTTCTATTAGCCATTCCAGCTATCTGATAGCCATAATCCCACCAAGACATCACTCGGGCATGTTCATCTGTATTTTGCCTTAGCCAAAAGTAAGCTTCTCTAAAATCATCTAAGATATTCCTGGTGCTGAAAAGAATCACAATATTCTTTTAAATGAGATCTTATAAATGTGAAGAGAGTAATTTAAAATCTTGAGGTGTTCAACCATTGAATTAATCTCACGTTCTAAGGGCAGTCTTTAAAAGCCTCAAAAAATGGGGGTTGGGGAAAGATCAGTGAAGAGCTAATGCTTTTTAAACTTTAATATGCATGCACATCTCCTGGGTATCTTGAAAAGAAACAGATTCTGATTTAGTAGTTCTGGGGTGGGGCCTGATATTTTGCAAGTCTAATAAGCACCCAAATGAAGCAGAAGCTGGTGTGGCAATATATAAATGATCTCTTCTTCAATTTCAGCTGCATCATAATCACCTAGAGGGCTTATTAAATCAGAGATTGCTGAGCTCCACCTCTAGGTTTGATTCAATAGGCTTTCCGAGGGGTCAAGAATTTGCATTTCTAACAGGCTTCCTGGTAATGATGTTGCTGTATAGCAAGTCCTTGAATAACAATCCTTATGTCTCATCAACGTTATAGGAATAGAACTCTTGTTCATTTAGCCTATGGTAAAGTTGGATTCATTATATGTTGTTTTGTTTAGTCACAGATCCTATCTATGATGTTAAATGAGAACTTATTGTATGTCCAAGGACCACATTTTGAGAAAAACTAATATACATGTTATGAATGCAAAGACATTCTGGACAAGAGCATGAAATACAATGATTACTACCCACATGTGGTGGGAGGGGAGGGTGAGAAGAAAGGCTGTATGAAAAACATGGTAGATTCAAATGCAGAGCCTCACAAACATTCCTTTTTTTAATTCTTAACCACTGAGACAGAAAAAAAAAGGCATAGGTATAAAATCCTTTTGTAGCCAAGTTATTTTCTTACCCATCATGATTGTAAGAGGCCAGGACCACACTTGGACTAGAATAGGCATTGCTTGTGACCCAGGTACAGTGGACTGCAAACATCATCAATAGCATCAGCATCAACATGGTGACAATGCTTTTTATATTAGGACCCAATCCCTCTTCAGTTTTTTCCTGTTCAGTTACATGTTTCCTCACTTTACCTGCCTGAAGATACAAAAAACTGGTTAGACAAATTCATCATTTCACTGGTTTCATTGAGACATTCAAGAAAAGTTGGGAGAATGTTAATCTGTCAATTTAATCCTTTGAGGGAAAAAATGTATAACCATCAGGTATTCTTGAGTGAGTGATAAGTTTTCTAAAAATTAGCAAGGTAGATTCTCAAACTAAATGTGAATGAGGTGGTTTCCTGGAACTATACACAATTCAGGAGCTGGTCACAGAACAAAATATCTCCAGTAAGAAGCTGCTGTCAAACCGAGTATTCTTATGTTTTATGTATGTACAAAGGAGATAACCAAATGGCCTCATTCTAGCAGGCTTTTCTTACAAAACCCAAATTCCTCATTCTGAAAATGAAACTGTCCAACTGTAATCCAGACTATGTAGAACTTTAATATAAGACAAAAACAGCATTATCACAATCAACCTTCCAATTTCCAAACCCCAAAACCAACAGACATATTAAAATTAAGATTACATTTTTATAATATATTTTATTGATTTTTTACAGAGAGGAAGGGAGAGGGATAGAGAGTTAGAAACATCGATCAGCTGCCTCCTGCACACCTCCTACTGGGGATGTGCCCGCAACCAAGATACATGCCCTTGACTGGAATCGAACCTGGGACCTTACAGTCCGCAGGCCGACACTCTATCCACTGAGCCAAACTGGTTAGGGCAAGATTACATTTTTAAAACTACAACCACCACCAAAAAACCAGAACAGAAAACTGAACAGAGAGTCATAAGCTCTACATTGCTAGGCTAGTTAAGAAACCACAAAATAAAACATAACCACAAACACAAAAGTAGGTATGTGCTGTATTAAAACAAACCTGTATGAATTATATTGGGCCTATGTAGTAAGGAAAGTTTTTCAAAGTTAATACTTATCCTGGAAAGTTTCATTGCTTACTGGTATTTAAAAACCTACTTAATATTCAAATGAAGTTTAGTATGTCATCCAAGACAAGTGCTCTAATCTTTTTTTTTTCCAGGGGAGAGTGGGAACGCAGTCCCCCATTACCACAAATTATGCAGTCAAATTTCCCACATTTGGGGGAATTGCAGGGGTCAGCACATCCAGAGTACAGTGGATAAGCCTTGCCCTGGGAAAACCACCTTCCTGATCACGGTATCTCCCCTGTCAGGTAAGCCAATTCTTACAAGTCTTTTCCACATTTGCACCAAATATGACCTTGCTCTTCACTTAACCTGACAGGTTAAAAGTAAAAGTAAATTACATGCCCTGGCTGGGTGACTCAGTTCGCTGGAGCATCATCCAGTACACCAAAACAAAACAAAACAAAACAAAACAAAAACAAAAACAAAAGTTTCAAGTTTACACTGAACATGGACCTCAAAGATAAGCGTTTGTGCACATGGTTTCAATGGGGGTTTATAATGCTCAATGTTATGTAACTTAGTAGGCCACTACGTTTTTGCTCTCAAAAATAGAGGGATTTTAGATAAAACCTGACCAAAATGAAATGAGAATTCCTACTCTGGTTGCATTCTACTTTCTTATTCTTACCTAAAAGACCAAGCAGGATTCAAAGTTTTAGGCAAACAGTAGAGACCAACTAGAAATGTCAGTTTGTCTAAATCCTATTTAATCACATTTCTTAATATTAATAGTTCTTACTGTGGTAGAAAAATAAAGCATATAAAATTTTTAAAGGCCTTACTTTAGATTCCCCACCTTATCATACAAATTTCCTGGGTTTCTTTTGTCATCCTCATCACTGCTGTCCTCCACAGGTGGGTTTTCCCTTTTCATGTCATCCCCCAAATAGTGCTCAAAAACATTAGAGAAGGCAATTGCAGACAGCATACAAACGACGGGAGTCAAAGTCAACATCAGCCGCACCATCACTCCAGCAAAGTAGACAGCGCTGATGGCATACAGAGCAACTGGAAAGACAAGCTCTCTTGTAACACTTCAGAAAAGAAAATGTTCGCAGGAGACTGAACTAAGTATTTTATACCACATTATAAACCAAATCTAAAAACAGACATCTCATAAAAGAGTTAATTGTTTTTAAATTGATAATACCAACCAAATGATTTAATAGTCATATTTAGAAATTATAGCTAATGCTAACTAGACACTATATATCAACAATTTAGAGAAATGTATCATGCTTTAAATTTAATTATAGTAATTATAGTTATGGAAAATGAGACAAATCCATTGTCAATATCATCACATATTAAAAAATCCATAGTTGATAGATGAAAACATATTTGAGGAATTATTTATCAGGCAGAGTAAGTTTATAGAATCAAATAAAGTCTGTGAAAAGCTAGTGCCAATATCTGGCATAAAGCTTGCTCTAAAGTAAAAATAGGATGAGGAGAATATAATGTATTAGCCCAAGGAGGAACTTGTTATTAGTAAGAGACTTTTTAAAAAATTCCAAAGTATTTTCCAAAAGCCAAAGCCTTCCACATAATGTGCTAACCATCAGGAAGGCTCTACCATTTCAGGCTGAAGGCTATATGAATTCATAAAGTCAATGAGTAATTTGAGCTCCTATTCTCAAGTAAGGTTAATTAAAATTTCATTTCCTCACTAAAAAATTATACCATGTTCATACTGTATATCTCAATAAATTTTACATATGTGCATACCTATGTAATTATCACCCATCCTATATAATAAATGGCTAATATGCAAATCGACCGAACGTTGGAACAAACCAGTCGCTATGATGTGCACTGACCACAGGGGACAGACGCTCAATGCAGGAGCTGCCCCTGGTAGTCAGTGGTCTCCCATAGGGGGAGAGCTGCTCAGCCAGAAGCCCAGAGCCGAGCTTAAGGCTGGGGAGCCTCTCTTGCCTCCACGGCAGTGCTAAGGCTATGGGCCTAAGCCGTCGGTCAGCCATCCCCCAAGGGCTCCTGGACTGCAAGAGGACGCAGGGTGGGCTGAGGCACGCCCCCCCCCCCGCACAAATTTTGTGCACCAGGCCTCTAGTATCAAAATATAGAGCTTCCTCAGAAGGATCCCTCACACCTCTTCCCAGTCAATAACTGCTCTCCCCACTCCCTGCCTATAAAAAAAGTATCACTATTTGGACTTTTAAAGCATTAACTTAATTTTCTTATTCTTGAACTTTATTTTTAAAATTATATAAAAATGTTCCTTTTTAATTGGCTTTTTAGGTTAACCCATGCTATTATTCTTTTATTAATAGCTGTGTTGTTGTATTCCATTGTACGAATACATCGGAATTTCTTTTTCTATTCTACTGCTAATAACCTTTGGAATGTTTCTAATTAGGGGCTATTCTGAATAAAGTTGCATTATTAAACATGTCCTTTGTTGGACATACACACTCACTTCTCTTGGAATTAGGATTGCTGAGTCATGAGGTGGGCAATATGTTTAAGCTAAATCTTTTTTGAATGATGCAATATTATCATGGCCTTTTCCAGAGGGACTGGTCTACATACACAAGAAGAATGAGTGTCATCCTTTGGTTAGAACTCATGCAGGTGTTTTATTTTCCTCCTACTTCATTCTGGAATAGTACCTTGAGTATCACTCATAGTCCAAGCCGCATACTTACATAAATTCAAGTCCCGGTACTACAGATTATTTTTGTGTATGTTGCTTTTTTCAGTTTATTAGTTAAAAATTTACACAAATCTATCAGTGAAGAGGGTGTTTGCTTAAAGGTGATTCTTATTCCATTACAAAATGTACTTTGCACTGAAATTTCAATGATGGTCACCCCTGCAAACTTCTTTCTACTTAGTCAGATCTAACTTAGAAAATTAAATCAAGACTATGCTGTAAGCAAAGTTATAATTTCCAATTCTTAGCCAGACTATAATAACCTCCCAGAAAATGTAGTAAATTGAATGAAAATGTTACATGAGTCCTAAATTAAAAGTTAATAAAATACATATAATATAAATTCACTGGGTTTTACTTGCTTAAGATTTATGCAAGAAATTTATCTTGACTATGCAGAGTCATGCAAAGAAGAATAAAACTTTGAAGTGATGTCAATAATGAAAATAATTGTTCTAAAGCTAAGTATTTATTAAAAATCTCTTACCAAACACTCTTTCATCGTTGATATTTTTAATGCAGAACCATAGGCCTGCTGGGAAGGTACACACAAGAATATGTAGATCAAAGAAGAAAGACACCCAAGTCGTAGGTTGATGCTCAGACACTGATGCAATAATTGGAATATGTATTTTTGCATACCTGGAATTTAAAAAAGTTAATACTTAAGATTAAATAAAATCCTTTTTGATGGAAAAATTTTCTTTGACTGTAGATATAATTTCTATCTTCTAACCCTTGTCACTCATAAGTATATTCCAACATAACCTATTGTATTATAAATCTGGTCCACATTGATAAAACAAACTAATATGTCATCCCTAAAATTAGGAGAATTATCTAAGGTTAGTTATATTATAAAAGTGTTGGCTCTGACTTTTAATACAAAAATCTTTGCTTAAACAGGAATTTATTCTGCATTTTAACTTAGCACCTCCTACATCTCACTACCTTTTAGACTTATTATTACTAGCAAAAATAAGATATCATATTGCCACAATACTTTAGCAAGGCAATGAGAGAAATAGAAAGGACAGGACAAATTATTCCTGAAATGCCCCAAGATTCCAAAGTAGTCCATTAAAGTTTAGAAAGAATAAATATTACTGACAAAAATTTATCTAATTACTGAAGATTTTCCCTCAAACTCTTTGGGGTCCATTGGCTGATCTCTTCAATTATGTGTCCAAATGTTAGTTTCAGTCATTAGTATATATTTGCTTATGCCCTTTAATTAGACCTTCTGGTATCACATCAATGGGAAGGCCCATTCAATAAACTGTGATAGGTTTTTTATTGGGCCATTTAGGGAGTAACAAAGAAGATAGAACAGTGAAAACAGAGAAGACAGGTACATTATAATCAAAGGATATTTTCTCATCCTCAGGAAAACAAAAACATCTTATTGAACTAGTTGTGTAATTTAAAATTAATTTCTAAACTATTTCATTTTATAATAGCACTCTTAAAAGCACACAAATATTCTGTAGTATATGTAATAAATTAAAATATCAAGAAACTTAGTGTGGCATTAAAAAACATTAAAATTTTTTCTTCACATATACAGCATATGAGCCTTCATGATTAAAAAGTAAATACTAATAGATGGAAACTTTGAATACATTGGTAAAAATAAAAATCAATCATTAAAATTGCACAAATGTTATCTGAAATGTTTTGACCAAACTAAAATAAGGAGTTGTCCATGCAGAATCAAAATACATGTCATGCATATCATACTAAAGGTGCATTCCAAGTAGGTATTATAACAAAGAAAAAATACAAGGGATTCCAATCAACACTTACTAAATTAGTATAAGTAAGATACTTTTAAAATGTTACCCAAGACTGATGGTGATGCTGACAATATAAGAACAGAGGGGGGAAAAAATGGTATTTTAATGAGGGCAAATAACTTATCTGCACTTACCCAGTGTCCCACAAGGAGTAAAACCTGCCACTCCATGGTGCAATGTAACCTTAAAAGGAAAAATGTAGAAGCAATTAATCTGCCTTTTAAATTTGTTTTTGTTTTATTGGTTTTATATTTACTGATTATTATGGCTTAATTTAACCTAATACTTAAACTTTTCAGTTTTAATTTGTAGATGACAACATATTTCACAGGGCTGGCAGTCAGATAAAATGTTAGTGTGATCAAAGGAAAACAAATATCCATGGAGATTACATTTCCAGAGAAACACAAGTGGATAGATAAAATTGTAGGAAGTTTTCCAATTCTCTCATACACTTCAAATTGACTAGTAAAACAAAGCTAAGATAGTAAGAAAGCATTGGATAATATTTAAAAAGGGGGGTGGGTGGTGGTGTCTAAATTATCTATACTAATAAAAGGGTAATATGCTAATTAGACCAGACATCTTCCAGACAAAGCCACGGTGGCGGGGGCCGAGGCAGAGGCGGTTAGGGGTGACCAGGCCATCATGGGAGGGCAGTTAGGGGCAACCAGGCCGGCAGGGGAGGGCAGTTAGGGGCGACCAGGCCATCATGGGAGGGCAGTTAGGGGCAACCAGGCCGGCAGGGGAGGGCAGTTAGGGGCGACCAGGC